GGGGGGGGGGGGGGGGCGGTATATAGATCTCTAGCTTCTTCCTCCTGTTCTCCTAAGGAGAGATTTCATTTCTCCCGGGCCCTTGTCCCTAGCTGCATCTCAGGGGGCTCGCGGATAGACGGACAAGGCTTAAGAGGGGGAAGCCTGGCAGGGAGACGAGTGGATCCTAGAAGAGTTCTTCCCTTTGCTGTCGCCCACTGGGAGCCGGGATTGGGTTTGCAACAGTACAGTAAATTTCGCATCTAGGGCACTGGCCTCCACCAAACAGGTGTGTGCACACATATAGAGGGTTCTAGTTTCTGGCATGAAGGCGTCTGGCCCAAGCTTTCTCTCTACCGCCCATCAAAGGGGAGCAAAGGTGAGGGCTTGTAGGGACGGGGCCTAGCGTCGGCCTGGTCCCACGGGCCTTGACTCCCCCCCCCCCCCCCCCCCCCCCCCCACTGGCGCAGGCCCGTTCTGAGGAACAGACTGCACATGCGCAAATCCAAAGGCTCCCGGCAGCCTCCAGGGGCGACTGGTGGGATGCAGGTGCCCATGCGCGAGTGCCAAGCAACAAGATCTCAGTGACAGGCAAGTGTTTCTAGCTGGTATCAGAAATTAAGGGGCTGTTGCAGGGGAACACGCTGAGCCGGAGCCTGCTGAAAATACCTGGCGCTGTCTGCTTTTAGGGCTGCCGGCTCCTGACTCAGGCCACTGTTGTTAGTCTCCCCTGGCTCCCTCCAAACACCACCTGCCCCTGGGCTTCTGAGCTCACACAAACCACTGTCCCTGCCGCCCTCATCTGCCCAGTGCCTCCGGTGGCCAAGGTAGGTCTGGCATCCTAGCCTCGCCACCCCTGGGTGGGTGGAATCAGACATGTCTTTGGAGTGTCACAGTGAGAGAGTTTTAATAAAAAATGGTGATGGAATGTTTGGGGGAAGGTGGGTAAGGGTACGATGCTGGAGATTTGTTTTTTGCAGAAGGCATTTTTAAAAAGTTCAGGCTGTAATGAGATAAAACATGTTACCTTAGCAAATCCATCACGTTAAAAAAAAATGTTAACGGTGTTTAGGAAAATAGAAGGGAAAACTGAATTTCTGGCAGAACACCAGTTGGTTATTACTGCTAACCTTCATCAAACAACTGTGCATTCTACTTAAGACTTCATTTTGGTGCCCTCAAATACAATCACAACTGCAGGGGGTAGGCTGCAGCTGTAAGACTGTCCCTAATGCTCCCTCATTCATTCAGGAATTTGATCTGTTTCAGAATTTTCCCTTTTGTCATTTGAAGTCACTCATGAAGTGGAAATGGGGGGATGAGGAAGGTGGGAAGGTCAGATTGGTGTGGGTAAACACAAAGAAAATTCGTAGAGACAGGAACAGCAACATCAACAAAAAAAAAACCTGGTCCCAGAGTTTATTCAAAAGAGCAGCAATCAGAGGAGTTTCAGGAATTGAAATATACTTGAGTTAGGTGGAGGAGTGGGGAGTGGTTGAAGGGACAGGCTCACTCTCAGCAACGAGGAGGGTCATAGAAAGAGCAGAAGTCGTGCCTGGCAAAGTCAGTGAGAAAAAGACCTGGGTCATGAGAAGCCTATGGTTTTGGTTTAGCTCTTTATTACCTGCCACCATGTTGACACAGAGAACAGAGAAGGAGAAATAGCACTAAGGCAAAGAGTGAAATTTAGGAGTAGTTGTAAACTAGGTAAGATGAGGGGGATATTTTAAACAATGAATATGAGTGAAATAGGGCTTATTTATATTAACTCTTGCTTGGCCCATAAATAAATAAGCTATTTATAAATAAACTATTATTTCCTGTCTTGCTTTCCATTTTTAGCTTCTAGAAATCTTATCAACAAATAAATAGGGCTATGTTCTTCCTATTGCTTTAGTGATAGATATAGCTTCATGTTTATCCTTTTCTCCCTTCCACTGGGCTTAAAGTCCTAGAACTAGATAGAAGAGAAATAGTTTCAGAAATAAACACAAAATAATAGAATATGTCTTGACGTATGGTTCCCAGTGTAGATATTTGTGATTATTATTTTTTCTGTCACATGTTGATATTTGGAATCATAAAAATAATACAATTTTGTATTCTGTATTCCAGAATTCCACATGAATGGTTTACGATGTTGGTGAAATGTTCTCTATGATACCACAAAATGTCTTCTTAAAACCAACCAAATAATGTTGATCAGTAAATTTCCTTCTTCAGTGATCTCTGTGGACAGAAGAGTTTGAGGCACATGAACAAAGAATGCTCAAGATTATTGGGATCTGGAAGGTACTTTGTGAACACATGAGGCTGCGCACCTGTACTCTATGATGGTGGTTGACATTGGTGGTGGGAAGATTTCAACTTTTCTCTAATTTAAGAAGATTTAAATAAAGGTACGTGAAACATTGGCTAATAGTATAGACAACAAATCTTAGAATGAGATCTTGGAAAATTTTGTACCCTGCATTTTGTTTTTGATTAAAAGTCACATAGACTAAAAGTCACATTTATCTGAAGGGTGTATTATTATTGAACAATTTGAATTTGCTGTGGTCAGGGTCTGTGCAAGTCTTCATGGGATCATGGACTACACAGGACTGGAAGGGCCTTTAAGAAATGTGCTAGGTATTAGACTGGAATTATACTGGAATTAAAAGAAAAAGAAGTTAGCTGGGTGAGATAAGGGTCTGATCTTTATTGAGATCTCACCTTCCATTCCAAAAAGCCAAAGTGGCTGCAAGACACCCTGCACTCACTTTGGCAGCACATGTACAAAAAGCCAAAGTAGCAAAAGTAACTGAGTAAAGCACACATATGGGGAATGCCTTTGCCCTACTTTTCCCTCATTTTTAAAAAGACCAAAATGATCTTTTGGATTCCAGGTTCTTGATACTTGATATAAATGTACATAAACCAACATTTTATCTGTTTGCAAAAGGTGATGACTATTAAATACCTTTTAGAGAGAAAGGATAAAAGTCAGAAGCTTGGCTGTGTCTTTAGCTGTTTTACCAATACTTAGTCTTTCCTATACGGGAAAAATCTAGGGCGATGTACTAAATCAAAGTAAATAATTGATTGCTTTAGCTAAGGGTAACTTGACAGTTTAGAGAGTTTGACTTATATGGTTATTGTTTGTATAAATGGTGTGTTTTATGAACCGTAATGATACGTGATAAAATTTCATAAACATCTATAGAAGTATTCAAATCACCTTAGATTAGATAGTGGACTTTTAATTAAAATTTCCCCACATTTTCTTGTACTTCCTGGTTGATATCTTGGAATCCTGGCAGCTTCTGAGCAACAGTTTTCCCAAGACTCTGAGGCAGTAGTTACATCTTTTAAGAATCCAGTTAGTAATTTTATCCTGGGTACATTTTATTCTGGAGACATTTCCATTTTAACCAGTTTATGCAAGTATACACACACATACACACACGTGTATATACGAACACACATAGGGCCATGTGTAAAAGACATTATCCCTATAAACTCTTTTCATCTTATTCATAAACTAAGACTGAGTACTATCGAGGAGCAGATAGTTGTCTAAAAATCTATTAAGGAAGAACTTTGGATTTAAGGGAAATATTATTCATTGAACCCTCAGACATTCTCAAGCTAGAATTTACCCTTAAGCATAAGGAATGGAGAAATTTATTACCACCAGTTTTTATCTTTACTTGTTTTTTTACTCTGTCCTATGTAAGAAAAACCAATTGAATTTATGTGGTGTTGGTGTTATTTTCATGTTCTAGTAAGCTTAATTTAAAAACATCACTTATGTTCCTCTTCTTTTATACTGTGTTTCTGAGTTGCTCATGTACAATATATCTATGTTGTGATTTCTCAGTTTCTTCATGGAATGTGCTATTTTATTTCTAGATATCTGATCATATTTAAATGACTTAGTCTTTCCTGGTCAAATAGTAACTTTTTTCCCCCCTTCAATATTCTGCAGGGGAATTAAGCAGATTCTCATAGGTAGAAATGTTTAAATGTGTCTTCAGAACACTTATGGGACAAACAGAGTAGCTCTGTCATGTTTTTAGCAGCAAAACACTTAAAAGAAATAGTTCTCCAACAAAATTAGTTATGAAGCCCACTAGAGATAATCCCATCCTAAATTACTTGCTGCATAATACATTCTTATAAAAAACAGCAAAACATGGCAGGAAGGTAAGATAAAGAACTATCTCTGAAACACATTAAGTCCTGATATATATTAACAAGTATCAGTCAGTTTCTAACTTGCACTTTTAAATTATAAAAGGAAATTTGTTTGATATGCTTTCTGTCTTATATTTGGAAAACTTAATGTTAGAATAGGTTAGATTTAGAATAGGTTTTTGTTTCCTAGTTTGAAGAAACACAGTCAAATCTTGGGTTTGCGAGCATAATTCATGCTTGTAATCCAAAGCACTTGTATATCAAAGCAAATTGCCCCATAAGAAATACTAGAAACTCAGATGATTTGTTCCACAACCCAAAAATATTCATATAAAAATGATTACAATACTGTAATATAATACAAAATAATAAATACAAAATGTAAAGAAAAATAAACAAATTGACCTATATTACCTTTGAAAACCTTTGTGGCTGCTGTGAGGGAGACAAGAGAGGGGGGTTATCGTGTAGGACGACTTTCACTACCACTAATGGAATCACTGCTATCTATTGGCTCAACGGAATCTTTTTCTTTTTGTGCAACTTTTAACAAGGAACCTATACAAAGACATTTGCTTTCTGCCTCATTTTGAGGGTTTCATGGAAATGTGACATTGCATTGATGATCACCCACAATCCTGCAGTGAGAGAAGGAGAGCGAGAGAGCAAGAGTGAGAGCGAGAGAGAGAGAGAGAAGAAAAATCATTGGCTCAGTTGTGATCATGTGACACTTGGCATTACATACTACTCATATTGCAAGACAGCACTCCTTTATCAAGTTAAAATTTATTAGAAATGTTTGCTCGTCTTGCAGAACACTCACAGCAAAAGTTACTTATAACCCGGGGTTTTACTGTAGTTAAAAAAAAAGTAAATAGTAATTGTGTGCCACGGCTACTCCTCACCATCTGGGTTTCAGAAATAGTGTTCTGCTCTTCCTCTTGGCTTACAAAACCAAGTTTCTATACTTCTGCTGCTGGGTAGACACTAAGGGTGGGCAGGGAGGGACAGAAAGAACAGAATACACAACTTCTCTTTTAATTTCAGTCCTCTATCATCCATCAACCACTGAATGACCAAGCCTTGTTTGTACCCACTTGCAGCACCCTGAAATGAAGCTGTAAGAGACACGCCCCCCCAAACCCCTGGCAGTCACAAACTGATAACCTGTAGATCATTTTAGAGGGTTTTTTTTTTATAACTTGAATTTCTTTTTGTTTTGTTTTGTTTTGTTTTGTTTGCTTATTTTAAAGTAAACTTTGTATTCAAGTACATGTTATTCTTGAATACAGAATGATACACAAATCAACATGTGCAGCTCAAGGAATTTCATAAAATGAATACCTTTGTGTAATCAGTATCCAGTAACTAATTGCCCACATTAGCAAATTGGGACATGACTACATAAACATCTAGATTCCCGATTTATTTTGGAAAATTGGAAAATCTTACCTTATTGGGTTCACATTTTCACTAGCGTTAGTCAGCCAAACTGAGAAGCAGCTAATCTTTTAAGTAGAGCATATGCTTCTACAGTCCCTACCACTCCCTAGTACCTGCTTGTGAAGGCAAGTGTTGGTTGCTGTTGACAAATACAAATAATGAAAATTAGAATGACTGTAAAGTTGTGATCAAAATCTAACAAAACAAAAAAATATCAGAGGAATATAAGAGTCAATGGAATGTTCTTAAAGTGGCAAGTATTTTGATTGAGCTGAACAAAAAAGAATGCAGATTCTAATTGGCCCATAATTATATTAATTAGAACTGATCATATCATGGGGAAAGTTGGCTGGGGCTTGAGTGAAGGTTACAAATTACAACCACTTGAGTTACTTGATGGACATTGGTTTACTGAAAGGTGTTAGGGCTAGGTTTTGCCAAATTCTATAGCTATTCTTAGATTGTGGTATGTGCCTTTAATTTTATAATTACATTTAGGCTGCTTCAGATCTATATTACTTTAATCCAGTATTCATGTTATATAGTCACAGTCAGAATCTCCCAGTTACTATCTATTTCCTGCAAATTAGTTATCTTTCTTCAACAGCTGATGAGTGGGATACCTCTTATTGGTTGTAGTGTTGACTGTTTGACTACTCAGTGATAAGTCCCACACCCCTCCCCACTTTTCTTCTTTCTAATGCTGATCTTTGTTCAGGTGATTTAATCTCTTCCACATGGCCATATACTTTTCTGATCCAATTATGGTAATCTCATTCTTGGCTATTTATATTTTAGTAATAAGTTTGATACCTTTCTGGTCAATGAGCGATGAAGTGGAATCTTCTGGGGGCTTAGAGAAAAACTTGGTCAACATTAAAAAGAGACACAAAAAGACAGTATTTTTACTGGATATTACCTTGTCTGATTAAGATATAAGGTAGTTAGCCTAAGGACAAGCTTACGTATTGAATAATGCAACATAGAAAAATGGAAAGGATCCTTGATGATATTGTTGAGGCATTGAACTAAGCAACGGTGAAGCTGCCTCACTTCAAAATTTCTCCTATAAAATGATAAATTTCATAAGTCTTCGGCTAGTTAAGCCAGGATTTTCTGTTTGCTATAGCTGAGATACTCTAATACACTAGAGGAAATACTTCATTGGTGAATGATTTACAATTAAACGATGTGTTAGATTATGTAAAAAGGTTTTTATCTCAGTCTGTCCCACAGAATAAATTACCCTAGAAAGGAGATAGAAAACTGGATGATGGTAGAAAGGTAAAATAGAGTCAGTAAGTCAAAAAGGATGTGGCAGTAGCCTAGACCAGAAGTCAAAATCTATTCTAACACATTCATTCAGATTAAAAATGTAATATACTATATATGTGCATATATATATATATATGTATATATATATATACACGCACATACATATATATCTATATGTAATAAATGAAATTGTGTATATGAATATTTCCTCTAAATGGTTCAGATAGTTCATATAGTTTGTGTTTCTGATGAATCTTGAGTACTTTTTTGTTTCTCAAATTGTTAAACCTAAATCATTAATGTTGAGTTTAGTCAACAAAGTCCTCTTATCTACCCATTTATTGAGCTTAGCTTCAATAAACTTTGAACACAAATTAAAGGTTTTTATGAACTAAGCTTCTTTTATGAAACTGATTTGTTTATCATCTTAGTATAAGCAGGAACAAAGGGCACTGGCTTAAATGAAAGGGGGGGATTCCCCTCTCTAGCCATCTTTCTTCCT